TAATGCAAGAGTTTACAAGAGGACTGAACTGCTCAAGGCCACTACAGATAAAACATGTTTTATTGTTAATTAGGTTAGCTGAAACTTTCTCACAAAAAAAAGGAAACAAGATGATAGGATTAGGCAAGGACAGAAGAGGTAACTTAATTAATTAGAGGTGTGGTAATGCCAAGGATGTGTTGCATGGAGACAAATGGAAGAAGAAGAGAGGACCGTGAAGTTGCTCATTGTGGTTTCCAGTTCAAGCTGTTTAAGGATTCAGTTATCTCTGTTCACATCAAGCAAACAATTATTTAGGAGATTTGTAAGGAAATGTAAGTATGTCCATGCTCTTGTCAAGATGTATGTTTTTTTTTTTTTTTTGGGGGGGGGGGGGGGGATATCATTTAGTAGTCTTTTCTATTTGTTTCTTTCTGTTATCATGCTTATTTTCTGTGGTTTGTGATCTGTGTGTTTAGTTCTGTTCTTCTGTTTCCCTGTGCCACCAGTTCATTTTCCCAGCGCTTTGCCTCAGTTTCAGCTCCTCTCTCCTGCTACGCCCACTTTCACCTGTTCCCTGTTCCCATCAAGCCACATGTCTTCAATCTTCTCAGCAGGCCCAGTCCATTAAGGCTACCAGTCTCCACCTCACTTTCAGTCTGGTAATGTGGCTTTCATACCCAGTCTGAGTTACCTCAGTGGCTCCTTGTGGTGTTAAAGCTTTTCTTTAATCATTTTACATCGACATATAGCAGTTTCAGTTTTGTGGAAAGGGCTTGAGTTTTTATTGTCAGATTTTGTGCTTTGTTGATGCAACTGTCCTCTGGAGCTGGTACACTGGCAACGGCACAGAAAATCATTTCATGCTTGTACCCAAAGGCGCATATTAAAAATGCCCTGTTAGGTCCGTCTAGTAATTCCTGTGGGCCTTTTTAAATGTTCAGATGTACAAAGCCTTCCCTGGCATGTGCAGGGACACAATAGTCTTAAGACACATAGACTAAACTCTCAAGAGGTGTGGCTCTGCTGCCTCAAAGTGGACAAATGTGCATTTATTGCAGGTTTCTCAACAGAAATCAGTGAAATAATCCGACCTGTTTAACAGTTTCTTCAGTAGCAGACGTGTGCAAAATGAGAAATCCCGTGTCAAAATTTTAGAGGTGCCCAAAACAAAGAAAATGTTTTATTTACCTCAGTGAAATAATAATAATAGAAAATAAAACTAGAAAGTTCCTGGAGAAAATCAGTCAGGGACTGCCACATTGCAATAATTACATTTTTATTGATTTGACAGTACTATGAGTTGGGATTGTATTGTAATATTTTTTTCTTGTAAACTGTGGTGGCCATCTTGGATTTTTGATTTGGATAGTATATGATGGGGAACATTCTCAGCTATAACCACACCAAATTTCAGCTCTATGTGTGGAAAAACAGCTGCGTTAGAGCCATTTAAATTTAGCTTTGTTCCATCTTGAATTTTTAAATTTGAATTCAGTTTTTAATGGGCATTGCTCTCAGCTACCGGTACACCAAATTTTAGCTTAAAATATATATTTTTAAAAAGGCAGAATAATAGTTTGTTTCAATGATAAAAATTATATTTTTGTTTGCAAATTACATTCGAAACACCAATAAAAGTAAAATCATACACCATTGTACCAAGCCATTCGTTTCGATATAACATTTGTGGAAGCACACATTGTGGTTTGGGCCACAATAAAGTTGAAGGAAGAGCAAAACCCTTTGCAGGTGGATAATAATAGGTGGCTGCCTTTCTAGGCAGTCCCCAAATAGAGAAAACTTTAAAGTAGTGGAATGTTTTGTGAAAATAACCCTAAAGAAGTAGTATTTATCTTCAGCAAAAACTGTCTAGAGAAACATTTTTTCTGTTCCCACTAAATGTTATAAATCCCCTGGTGAAAATTCAACAAGTAGGTTTAATTTTCAAGAAATACATTAAAATATGTTCTCAAGTAAATGTACTTATCAGGATTACATGGAAAATGTAAAATAAATAGATTTATCTAAATATACTTCAAGTACATTGTTATAAAATATATTTTGTTACACTTTATGAAGTATTATTTTTTGCAAAATATGAAAGAAATTTAATTTAAATATATTTATAAAAGTAAACTTCATATAAACTTTTTTAAATGCACTTTGAATGCATTTGTAAAATTTTGTTTTCAAAGCATACTTTAAAAATATATTACAAATATATGTATCCAATACTTTTCAGCAGTTCATTAAGTTTTAAATATATATATATATATATATATATATATATATATATATATATATATATATATATATATATATATATATAT